CCCCCCCCCCCAGGAGGTGCTGTTGGGATCTTCTGTCCTCATTTCCTGTGGTCTGCTTTCTCTCTTCGCAGTGAGCTGCCCCATCCCCCCCAGAACCTCCTGGCCACCTTGAATTCTTCCTTCAGCCGCAGCGTGATCCTCTCGTGGGTGCGCCCCTTTGACGGGAACAGCCCCGTCCTCCGCTACATCGTAGAGCTCTCCGAGAACAGTGAGTACGGCGAAAAGCTGATTTCCACTCTCTTCTGTCTCTTCCCCCTCTCGAAAACTTCTCGCTCGCCTTTTCTTCCCTGTACGTCCAGGTAGAGCGCACTAGAAGCGTCCGTCCTGCCCGCCTGTCCCTTCAGTCGCACGTTTTAGCGGTGGATTTTAATATATATATATATATTTGGAATAATAATTCTTCTTCCCAAGTGAGCTCTACCTCGTTCTGCTACACCGGGGATTCTAATTGAGTGTTCCCTTCAGCCGCAGATGCTTTTCAGGCGGCTGCACAGGGCTTTGTGTGGGGAGTTAATATGCCAGACTCTGTTGCCTTGATGTCCCCCGCTCAAGAGTGCAATTATCGAGCTCCGGTGCCGTCCCGAAGTTAGGCTTATAACTGTTTTCGTGGAAGTAGTGGCTGGGGGCGGGTGGGGAGGCCCAGTCGAGGTGCCGTTTCACTCACTGGGCTGCCTCGCCGTAGGCCGGCTTGAAAGGTTTGGAGGTCTAAAACAATGAAGCGCTTCTCCAACTACCTTCATGGCTACCATTGACAGCCAGTTTGGTGCAGTGGTTAAGAGCGGCAGACTCTAATCTGGGAGAACCGGGTTTGATTCCCCACTCCTCCACGTGCAGCTGCCGGGTGACCTTGGGTCAGTCATAAGTTCTCTCAGAGCTGGTCTCTCACAGGCAGTTCTCTCAGAGCTCTCTCAGCCTCGCCTACCTCACAGGCAATGGTATCTCTCTAAACCAGGGGTGTCAAACATAAGACCCCGGGGGGGGTGGAACGGGCCCATCCAGGGCTCCTGTCCGGCCCACAAGCAACTGGTATGTACAGAAATGTAAGGTACTCCCCCTTTTATGGTATCCCTTGGGGGGAAACCTAGTCTTGCATGTGATTAAATACATTTATTGGGGCTTTTGTGGGCCCCCCCCTAAATCGATCGCTTTCACTGCTCGGAATAAATTGCTTTTGTTTGTGTTTTTGCGTTTAAAATAATATCGTTAATTGGGTTTGCCTTTGTCCTTTATAAAGTTTCTGTCTCCGGTACCTGGTATTACATTTTATGGCACAAACGGCCCAGCCGGACAAAGTGTCATTTATAGCAAAAAAAACAACAGAAAACAACTGTGAGCTGAATTACCCGCAAAAATATATATCCAAAAGGAGACTTCAACAAAGTGAAATGCACATTTTTGTTGTTCAGTCGCACAGTCGAATCCGACTCTTCGCGACCCCATGGACCAGATCACGCCAGGCCCTCCTGTCTTCCGCCATCCTCTGAAGTTGGCTCAACTTCATGTTCGTTGCATCGATGACACTGTCTAACCATCTCATCCTTTGCCGTCCCCATCTTCTTTGACCTTCAATCTTTCCCAGCATCAGGGTCTTCTGCATGGAATGCACATGTAATCAAGCAAACATGGCCCTATTACATAGAGGCAGCCTTGAGAGGTGCTCACTAAAGCTTAGGAGACCTGACCCATAAAGAAACTGAATAGTATTGTCCTATAAGGAAATTGAACGAGACTTCCTATAGTTGTTCTTTGTTCCTGAGGAAGGACCAGAAGTCTGAAACACTGAATACTACCTAGGAAAAGTGTTGGATATCTACTCTGGACTTTGTATTTTCCTTTCATGGATCCCGTGGGCTTCTGTATTTTCCTAGGATGGATTATATGTATAGATTCATTCTTGATTACATGTGCATTTCACTTTGTCGAAGTCTCATTTTGGATATATATCTTTGCGGGTAATTCAGCTCGCAGTTGTTTTCTGTTTTTCGCTATTTCTTGCTGTGTGCTGTAAAAGTATCATTTATGTCAGATCCGGCCCTCGTAACGAATGAGTTTGACACCTCTGTTCTAAGCTGTGGAGCCTTGTGAGCATAAATTCATTGCGCAGGGCACATTGCAGGGGAGGGGGATACGTTTCCTAGCATTTGAGGGAAAACTCTATCATGCTGAGAACTCCAGGATGAGGAGGGGGACCCCCCCCCCCCGCCAACAACCAGGTAATACATGTCAACCCTTCTCCAGTTAGTTTGGTTTATACGGCTGTAGATGGAGAATAGCACGAACCGAATGTCAAAACCTTGCTTAAATAATTGAATATTGAAAAGGACGATAACGAATCTTGAACTGTTGTTTCCTTTAATTAGAGTCTAGTGGCCCCTTAAAGATGAAGTGCGCCTTGACTCACAAAACCTTATGCCCTGGGAAATTGTGTTGGTCTTTAAGACGCTGCTACAGACTTAACACAGCTAACCACCTGACCTTCTTTCCTTTAATGTTGCTGTAACTAAGGGAGGTGGTGATGCCTACATAAGTTCTCCCTCTAAACAAGATTCGAGTGGCCAGTGGCCCTTTTGTGAGCCTGATCTTCTCAGAAGCTAGGCAGGGCTGGGCCTGGTTAGTATATGAATGGGAGATCAGCAAGTCCTGGTCCTGCTGGTGGACCTCCTGATGGCACCTGGTATTTTTGGCCCCTGTGTGACACAGAGTGTTGGGCTGGATGGGCCATTGGCCTGATCCAACATTGGCTTCTCTTATGTTCTTATGTCTGGGGCAGTGATGCTCTGTACTCTTGGTGCTGGGGGGAGGCAACAGTTGGAGGGCTTCTGGAGTTCTGGCCCCCCTGGTGGACCTCCTGATGGCCCCTGGGTTTTGGCCCCTGTGTGACACAGAGTGTTGGACTGGATGGGCCACCAGCCTGGTCCAACATGGCTTCTCTGATGTTCTCGTGTTCTCATAAGGAAGTAAAGAATTGCTCCGCAGAGGCAGGCAAGGGAAAACCACCTCTGAACGTCTCTTGGTTGAAAAGCCCGCAGGGTCGCCATAAGTCAGCTGTGACTTGACAGCAAAACAAGCAGACAAAAAAAGAAAATTAAGGGAGATGACGATCCCTACGGTCATCTAAATAAGATCTTGAGTGCTTGAGTCACAAGGGTCCCTTTCTCAAGCCCACGCGAGCTTCCCCACAGCCTCATCTGCACTGCTCCAAAGTCATCTCACCCTTGGGCTTCTTCCGCATTTTGTTGATACTGATGTACCTATGGAGTATTGCTCCCCAGTCAGAGAGCCAATTTGGTGTAGTGATTAAGAGCGCGGACTCTAATCTGGGAGAACCGGGTTTGATCCCCCACTCCTCCACGTGCGGCTGCTGGTGTGACCTTGGGTCAGTCACAAGTTCTCTCAGAGCTGTTCTCTCAAGAGCAGTCCTGGAAAGCGCATTCTCGGTCCCACCCACCTCACAGGGTGTCTGTTGTGGGGAGGGAATTGTAAGCCTCTCTGAGACTCCTTCCGGTAGTGAAGGTCGGGGTTTAAATCCAATCTCTTCTTCTTCAAGACTTCTGCTGCCTGCTGCTGACAGCGGTGTGGGGGGGGGGGGGGAGGCAGTCAGGCCTTCCACACGTGTGCACACACATACCCAAATGCATGCACGCACAGTGTTCCTCTTTTATGCATAATCTGCAAACAGAAAGGCAGGTAGGATAATAAAATCATAGAGTTGGAAGGAGCCTCCAGGGTCACCTAGTCCAACCCCCTGCCCAATGCAGGAAATCCACAAATACCTCCCCCCCACCCCCCCTGTGACCCATGTTCCACGCCCAGAAGATGACAAAAAACCTCCGGGGTCTCTGGCCGAACTGGTACTGAGACATCAGTTTCCTTTACTGTTAATACAGTTCAAGACCAGCACAAAGTCAGTTAAGACATTACTTCAAGGTCATTTAAATATACAGTGTACAATTTTAAATGTTTCAATGTTAAAATAACAGGCAGAAACAAGAAGGGGAAAAAACTGAACCTAACAATAAACTCCAGAACCAAACAAAGGTTAGTGAAAAGGAGGGCCAATATTAAAACCTTTCCATAAAAAGAGGTACATGTATTTATTGTCATACATATGTGGCAAGATGGTTAATAATTATATTCACATAAACACAATCAGAAATATATACAAAATATAGATTCATTAAGGACCATAAAGTAAATTGTTCAGAAGTAAAATCACCAGGCACAGGATAAATATGCACATAAGACCTTTAAAGTGCAATCACTAGCCCAGTGATTATAAAATAAACTTATGGTCCAAAAATTTCCTTCAGTATTCAGTATTTCCTACAGTATTCACAAGTAAAGAGCAGAGCTGTGCCTATTTGGCCAAAACGCGTAAGGTCAACTTTTTAAGCCCTTGATATTGTTATGTTTTATATACATTGGTTGCAATTGGGCCCCTATATATGTTTTAAATTTGTTATTATCAATAAATACATGTACCTCTTTTTATTGCTGAGGCCGGAAGAAGGCGGAGCCGCGCGCCTCCAGAAAGGAAGAAACTACCACCGAGCGCCAGGAAGAACACATCCCGCCAAAGAAAGTCGCCGACCAGAACCCGAAGAAACATCATTAACCACCACCATAGGGGTGTCTGGTAGGTCGGCCCAACCCGTATAGAACATGTGGCCCTAGTTAGGAAAATTGAAATGGTGGCTAGCACCGACTTGTAAGCCGCTCAGAGACCCCTAAATAGGGGTTCGAGCGGGATATAAAGTTGAATAAATAAATAAATAAATGGAAAGGTTTTAATATTGACCCTCCTTTTCACTAACTTTTGTTTGGTTCTGAACTCAATTTTAAAATAAATCAGGGTTCCGGTCACACAGGCCGGATAACGCGGGGGGAGGCGTGGCTATCCGCGCCGTCACAATGTGACGCGCCCCAACGCAATCAGATGCGACGGCATTGTTTCCATCAGCGGGTGTTTCCGGCGCGCACCAACCAGAAACCAGGGATGCGAGAGGCGCGTTCTGGAGCGATCACACAGAGAGCGTTCATTTGCAACCTGTCACAGCCGGTTGGTAGTGGATTTTCCCAGGTACTTTTAAACTCCGCATCTTCGACCAAACAATACTGGTTGGCGACGGGTTCACGACACTTGCCAGATGTTTCCATGTGATCGCGCTGTATAATCCGCCCGGCAATCGTGGCTCTCCTGCAGGAACT